TGGGTGACGCATGCGGGCGCGGGCACTGGGGCCTTCGGTGGAGCTCCCTATGGGGCCACGAAACGTGTGAGGGGTTTGGCGAATTGGGTGTGGGTGACGCATGCGGGCGGCAGCACTGGGGCCTTCGGCGGAACTCCCTTTGGGGCCACGAAACGTGTGAGGGTGTGCCGAATTGGGTGTGCGTGACGCATGCAGGCGGCAGCGCTGGGGCCTTTGGCGGAGCTCCCTGTGGGGCAACGAAACGTGTGAGGGGTGTGCCCAATTGGGCGTGCGTGACGCATGCGGGTGGCAGCACTGGGGCCTTCGGTCGAATTCCCTATGGGGCCACGAAACGTGTAAGGGGTGTGCCGAAGAGTGTGCGGAACGCATGCGGGCGGCAGCACTGGGGCCTTCGGCTGAGCCCCCTATGGGGCCACGAAACGTGTGAGGGGTGTGCCGAATTGGGTGTGCGTAACGCGTGCGGGCGGCAGCACTGGGGCCTTCGGCGGAGCTCCAATGGGGCCACGAAACGTGTGAGGGTGTGCCGAATTGGGTGTGGGTGACGCATGCGGGCGGCAATACTGGGGCCTTCGGCAGAGCTCCCTATAGCCAACGCGTGCGAGGGGTGTGCCGAATTAGGTGTGCGTGACGCAACCGGGCGGCAGCACTGGGGCCCTCGGCGGAGCTCCCTATGGGGCCACGAAACGTGTGAGGGGTTTGCCGAAATGGGTGTGCGTGACGCATGCGGGCGGCAGCACTGGGGCGTTCGGCGGAGCTCCCTTTGGGGCCACGAAACGTGTGAGGGGTTTGGCGAATTGGGTGTGGGTGACGCATGCGGGCGGCCCCCCCCCCACAAAGCCAAAAAAACCAAAAACTGGGGGTTCGGCGGAGCTTCCACTATGGAGTCACGGAACGGCGTGTGTGGGGTGTGCCGAATTCGATGTGGGTGACGCATGCGGGCGGCAGCACTGGGGCCTTCGGCGGAACTCCCTATGGGGCCACGAAGCGTGTGAGGGGTGTGCCGAATTGTGTGTGGGTGCCGCATGCGGGCGGCAGCACTGTAGCCTTCGGCGGAACTCTCATCGGGCCACGAAACGTGTGAAGGGGTGTGCCGAATTTGGTGTGGGTGACGCATGCTGGCGGCTGCACTGGGGCCTTCGGCGGAGCTCCCTATGGGGCCACGAAACGTGTGAGGGGTGTGCCGAATTGGGTCTGCGTGACGCATGCGGACGGCAGCACTGGGGGGTGGAATGGAGCTCCAATGGGCCAGGGGGGGGCGAACGTGTAGTGGTGTCCGAATTTGGTGTGGGGGTGACGCTGCGGGCGGCAGCACTGTGGTGCCGTTCGGGGAGCTCCCATGGGGACCACGAAACTGGTGAGTGGTGGTGCCGAATTGGGTGTGGGTGACGGCATGCGGTCGGCACCACTGGTGCCTTCTGTGCCATTCGGCGGAGCTCCTATGGGGCCAAGAAACGGTGAGGGGTGTGCCGCATTAGGTGGGTGTGGGTGGCATGCGGGCGGCAGCACTGGGGCCTTCGGCGGAGCTCCTATGGGGCCACGAAGCGTGTGATGGGTGTGCCGAATTGGATGCGGGTGACGCATGCGGGCGGCAGCACTGGGGCGTTCGGCGGAGCTCCTATGGGGCCGCGAAGCGTGTGAGGGGTGCGCCGAATTGGGTGTGGGTGACGCATGCGGGCGGCAGGCGGCACTGGGGCCTTCGGCGGAGCTCCTATGGGGCCACGAAGCGTGTGAGGGGTGTGCCGGATTGTGTGTGGGTGGCGCATGCGGGCGGCAGCACTGGGGCCTTCGGCGGGGCTCCTATGGGGCCACGAAACGTGTGAGGGGTGTGCCGAATTAGGTGTGCGTGACGCATGCGGGCGGCAGCACTGGGGCCTTCGGCGGAGCTCCCTATGGGGCTACGAAACGCTGTACTGGGTGGGCTGGGTGGTGAAAACGCAAGAGATAGGGGAGGATGGGGAGGAGAGGGGGAGGAGGAGGAGAGGAGAGGAGGAGAGGACAGGAGAGGAGAGGAGAGGAGAGGAGAGGAGAGGAGGACGCGGGGACCGTCTCTTCAAAACGAGGACCCAACACCACATGACGGTTTGGAAAAACTCGTAGTATTTGTAGCAGTCGTCGTCGTAGTAGTAGAAATAATCGCGGTAGTAGTAGTGGTAGTCGTAGTCGTAGTAGTCGTAGTAGTCGTAGTCGTAGTAGTAGTAGTAGTAGTAGTAGTAGTAGTAGTAGTAGTAGTAGTAGTAGTAGTAGTAGTAGTAAGTAGTAGTAGTGGTAGTAGTGGTAGTAGGTGGTAGTAGTAGTAGTAGTAGTAGTAGTAGTAGTAGTAGTAGTTGTAGTAGGAGTAGTAGTAGTAGTAGTAGTAGTAGTAGTTTTTGTTGTTGTATAGCTAGTTGAGTTTGTAGGTTAGAGGTTAGTTTGTGGAAGTAGTAGTAGTAGTGGTATAGTACTTGTAGTAATACCGGTAGTAGTGGTAGAGTAGTAGTAGTAGTAGAATAGTTAGTAGTAG